AGGGGTTGGCTTTGGAGTCACCCTGGATTGTTTTGGGGTCCCCGTGGGTGGTTTGGGGGTCCAGGGGGTGGTTTGGTATCCCCGTGGATGGTTTGAGGGTGCCCACGGGCGATTTTGGGGTGCTCACGCGTGGTTTTGGGGTCCCCCAGGAGCTGCGGGAGCGGGTGCTGCGAGGGAAGTACCGCATCCCCTTCTACATGTCCACGGATTGTGAGAACCTCCTCAAGAAGTTCCTCATCCTCAACCCCACCAAGAGGGGCACACTGGAGGTGAGGGGACCCCCAAACATCATCCTGGGACCTCCCCAACATTCCTGGGACCCCCCAGCATCATCCTGGGACCCCCCAGCATGGTCTTGGGACTCTCAGGTGGTTCTGGGAACTCCTGAGACCCTCCCGAGCAGCCCCCAGAGCACCCCAAGACCTCCTGGGGACCCTCCCTGTTGCCCCTGGCATCTCCCTGTGCCCCCCGGGACCCCTGGGATCCTTTCGTGCCCCCAAAGTGTCCCCAGAGGTGGCCCCTGAGCCCCTGTGTGTCCCCAGCAAATCATGAAGGACCGCTGGATGAACGTGGGCCACGAGGACGACGAGCTCAAGCCCTACATGGAGCCCGTGCCCGACTACAAGGACCCCCGCAGGACAGGTGGGACCCCAGGGCCACCCCTGGGGACACGGGTGACCCTCGGGGACACGGGGACCCCGCTGAGGGCCGTGTCCCCCCAGAGCTGATGGTGTCCATGGGCTACACGCGGGAGGAGATCCAGGAGTCGCTGGTGGGGCAGAAGTACAACGAGGTGATGGCCACCTACCTGCTGCTGGACCACAAGAGCTCCGAGGTGGGGACACGGGGACACTGGGGGGGGCAGGGACACTGTGGGGACATTGGGGACACTGGGGGGACATTGGGGGACACTGTGGGATGGCAGGGGACACGTGGAGGGCACCAGGGGACAACGAAAACACGAGAACGAAGAGGGGACATGGGGACAAGAGGGGACACGGGGAGGGACAGGTGACAAAGTGATACCGGGAGCGTCACTGGGATGAAGAGGGGACAGGAACGGGAGGGGACACGGTGACCAGGGGAGATTGCAACGGTGCGAGGGGACGTGGGGACACGGAGGTGACACGGGGACACAGGAGCACAGAGGGAGCGAGGGGATGTGGGGACACGGAGGTGGCACGGAGGTGACACGGAGGTGACACGGAGGTGACACGGGGACACTGGAGCACAGAGGGAGTGAGGGGATGTGGGGACACTGAGGTGGCACGGAGGTGACATAGAGGTGACACGGGGACACAGGAGCACAGAGGGAGCGAGGGGATGTGGGGACACTGAGGTGGCACGGAGGTGGCACAGGGACACCAGCCTGGCCCCACGCTGTCCTGCCCCCTGTCCCCACCGTGCCGGTGTGTCCTCCCCAGCTGTGCCGTGGTGGCACGTCCCCGTCCCTGTCCCTGCCCGGCGGGTGTCCCCCGTGTCCTGCCCTGTCCCCACGTGTCCCCTGTCCCCAGCTGGAGGAGAACCTGTCCCTGAAGCCGCGGGTGGCCCCGGAGGTGGCCAACAGCTCGGGGCCCTCCCCCGCGCACAAGGTCCAGCGCAGCGTCTCGGCCAACCCCAAACGGCGCGTCAGCGACCAGGGTGAGAGCCCGGGGGGACAGGGACCCCAAATGGGAACCCAGGGGGTCAGTGACCAGGGTGAGACCCCCAAATGTTGTGGGGCTGGGGCGGTGTGTCCCTCAGGAGTGGGGTGCTCTGGGTGCTGGGGGGT